ACCCAAAGGCTATGGTGTTTTTACTTGGTCTGATGGTAGTTGCTATGTTGGTAATTGGAGCAAAGATACCAACAACAATGAGTTCAAGAACTCGAAACAGGATAACCCATTACAGATTCTCAATGGGACTTTCTATCCTGGAAACAAAGAGAAAGGAGGCAAGAGGAAAGAGAGAGGGGGAGTGTTGGTGAGGTAGGTATGAGAGATATAGGAATTAAAAGGTATTTTGCTCTTTTTGTGTTCAAATAAAAGGGCAATATGGTCATTTTGTATAATCAAGTAACGTCGTTTGTGCGAAATTAACGGATTAGGGGAATCTTGATATTGTCAAGTAAAGCAGGGAACGTTACTGTAATTATTAAAACCACAGGGAAGGTCCCTGTATTTGTCAGAAACCTCAGGGGAGGTAAATGTAATTTACCCTAAAATAAATAATTTAAATTAGAAACTTATTTTAAATTAAAATTAATATTATTATTTTATAACACGTATCATAGTATAAAATATCATTACATTAATTAAATTAACTCTATTGTGATTTTATGTCAGGCATCATATTTTTTGAAGTGTTTTACATGTGCATGTGTAGCGTTCAATTTAATATTGATTGATTAAAATAATGAACTCAATACTTTTTTTTGTTAAGTTTTTAGAAGATAAATTGATAAATGTCAAATGATAAATAGTGTAGAGTATTATTAAATAATAATGATATATCGAAAATGATTGTGTATATTTAAGGCACCTATTGATTATTTTCTTGAATAATTTTTAAATAAAAATTTTGAATTTATACTATTACTGATAATGCACATTCATGAGCTCTGTCAGAAAAAATATGAAAAAATAATTTGGTTGGAATAAATTTTTTTTTTTTTTGTTATTATGATGTGTCACATAATTAATCAGAAACCCTTTGAGAATTAAAATTATTAAGTTTATAGCGATTTTGTGTTTAATTCTGTTTGAGTACGTCATTTATGATTTAAATTTATAATTTTGTGTGCATCAATATGAATAACTCTTGCGATCTTACTGATATTAGCATAAATCCTACATTTGAGTCAACCCACCTTAAGCACTTTTTCATGTAATAAAATACATAAATATTGTCATATAAAAATATTATAATAGATTATAATCAAATACCACTTGAAGTATAATTAAAACCCGATGCACCACTATAAACATTACAAAAAATATAAGAAATTAGTAAAGCTTTTTTCGATTAATAACCAAAATAATACACCGTGAATTATAATCAAGTCATAATTTGTATATTATAGAATTTTAAGATATATTTTTTTTTTAAGAAAAAAATATTTTGATACAAGTGGAACTCATGATTTTTAGTAAATTTGATTAACACAAATAAAGATTTGATTTCAAGTTAAGAATATACATTTTTTTTTTTTAAAAGAAAATATTTTTATGAACCTATTTTACGTAGGATCACACACAATTATAATAATTTTTAAAAAAAATTAACAAATTTGTTTGTTTTTGTATTTAATTTTCAATTATTAAAATTTTAAACAGTAAAATATTAAGACTTAAAATTAATATTTTATTTTAAAAGTAAATTCTCATGTATTTGTTGGCTTATTTTTCTTATGAAAAAAAATACAATAAATACGAGCGTGTCAGTAAGAATTGAAAAATCCTTACAGATTAAATTTAAACTAATTATGAAACGATTATGTTGACGGTTCTTTTGCCTCAATGAAGATGACTTCAAAATTACCAAGTATAGAAAAAAGAAAAATTAAAAGAAAAACGAGGGAGACGGAGAAAGATGATTGAGTGAACAATTAAATTAATCATTAATTTACCTCTACTCTTATGCTTTGAAAAGGAAATGCATAAAATGAAGTGCAGAAAATTTACCTCTACTTCTATACTTCGAAAATGAAATGCATAAAATAAAGTACAAAAAATTTGCCTCTACTCATATGCTTTGAAAATAAAGTGCATAAAATAAAGTGCAAAAAATTAAGTACAAAAAATATAAATAACAATAAAAATAAAAATCAATTGTTTTTTATTTGAATTCTGGATCCTTACAATATAGTCATGAATGACTATTTATAGGCAAACATTTGTAGAAAAAAACTACCTAATAACTACCATATTCTTCAATTTTCCACACTTCACACTCCATGATCTTTCACTTTATCTTTATGTCTTCATAATTTTCTTTAACCTTCAATTCATACTCCATGATCCTCCACATTCTCCATCATCTTTCTACATATATTTAATACTTTATAATTTCTCATAACCTTTAAATAAATAGGAGAATGTCACATATCCTAAAATTATATAAATGATAACTAATAAAAATTATTTATTTATGGTGCCAAGTCACCTACTAATTTCTATATATAGGCCTAGTTTGGGATAATGAAAAAAAGTCAAAAAGTTAAAAAGTTATCACTATTTATCAAAAAAAATTAAAAATTTAATTTTACACAAAATTAATTTTCAAACAACTCTGAAGTCCCATAGGCGCAGCTGACTTTTTGGAAAAATTGCACTGATTTAGGTGCACAAATAACATTGTGTTGTTTGGTCCATGGGTGCCATCATGGGTCCTGTTTTAATAATCTGAACCGTTCAATGTGTAGAACTCGTCGAGTACTAAATGCTTGTAAACAATGACTTTGATCGGATATCGGTAACTATATGATCAAATCAGTTAAAATTTACAAAATGGATGGTGTTATAGTTAATGGTTAAAAAAAAACTAATCCGATCAGATAGCTATCGATATCCGATCAACGTGATTTTTTACAAACATATAGTACTTGATGAGTTCTACACATTCACAGTTTTGATTAGCAAAACGGGACCCGTGATAGGCCCCCACAGGCTGAACAACACCTTCAATTCACTGCCCGAAAAGCAGGGAACCATCTCCCCCATACTCTGCTCACGCTGTTCCACCTTCAATCCCACCGTCCAGCCTATTCCATCAAATCTTCTCATATACACTAATTTATATGATTTTTTAATACACGTTTTTTCGCAAAAAGTCAAAAAATTATCCCAAACAATAATTTTTTTTCTCAACCTTTTAATTCAAAAAATTAAAAAAATACACTTATTTAAAACACTCCAAACAATCCCATAATAGACACATCTATAATAACTCGACACATTATTAATGAGATATAAAAACTATAAAAGTTATTTTTTTATTGTTTTTCTTTGACAGTTATATTGGAGAAGTGAGATACTATTGGTCCAATCTACCCGTCAAAGAAAACAAAAGATGAATAGTCTTGTTTGGATAAGGAAGGACATGCCATAACGTAAAAAGACAAATATAATAATTTTTTTTCTCAACCTTTTAATTCAAAAAATTAAAAAAATACACTTATTTAAAACACTCCAAACAATCTCATAATAGACATATCTATAATAACTCGACACATTATTAATGAGATATAAAAACTATAAAAGTTATTTTTTTATTGTTTTTCTTTGACAGTTATATTGGAGAAACTCGACACATTATTAATGAGATATAAAAACTATAAAAGTTATTTTTTTATTGTTTTTCTTTGACAGTTATATTGGAGAAGTGAGATACTATTGGTCCAATCTACCCGTCAAAGAAAACAAAAGATGAATAGTCTTGTTTGGATAAGGAAGGACATGCCATAACGTAAAAAGACAAATTATTGATCAATGTTATGGTAACTGAATTTATTGATCAATTTATTGTTACATATTTATTTAAGAATTAATCAGTTAAATCTCAACTTTTTATCATATTTAATTTTTCTAAAACAAGTATATGTGGTACTTTTATTTAATAATTATTAATTTAAATAGAAAGATATATATTATTTTTATATATTTATTGATAATTGATTTAAAATATTTAGAAGAAATTACAAGTCAGAAGTTTTTACAAAAGTTAATTATAAATGTAAGAAAAAAAATTATAATTTTATTTTTAATATTTATAAAATTTATCATTAATTTAAAATATTTTTTAAAATATATACTGAAATAAAATTACTCAAAATATTTGTCTCATGAACCCGCAAAGGTGGCCCAATTGATTGAGGGAGGAAAACTCTGGAAAGAGCCATAAACTCCGGACGTCTTGAGTTTGATTTTCATTCCTAACTGGATTACTAGCAGGTTATTGTATCTTTGCCGGGTTGATCAGCTCAGGACTCCTAGATTAATCGAGATGTACATCCTAAAAAAACGCTGATCCAGATACTCGGTTATCAAAAAAAAATACATATATATATATATATGTCACATGGAAGAAGAGTCCATTAATAGCTCTTTTGGGAAGTGGATTAGTAGTCAAAAAATTAATTTTTAATTTATTTTGAATCACATCATTTCATATCTTTTTACACATTTTTTCAAAAAAAAATAATTAATTAAAAAATTAACTTTTAACCATATTTTTAAAATAACCTTTATAAAAATAATAAAAATAAAAAAAAAGTTGGTTATGCATGAGACAAATCACGCCACTTCCATAAAAGAGTTCAAGCTTTGTCTTTGCCCATTTCTACACGTACTACGTCTGCACCTACGGTACAGTGGAGCACTTCCAAAATCGTAAAATTAATTAATTGTTTTTTGGAGTTTATTTCTGTATTTAAATTTAGCAAGAGGGCACAGAATTATAAAAATTACTATTCGTTTTATATTTAATATAATTTTCTAATAACAACATTTTCGTGCTAAATTTTTGTAGTGTTTTGGTTAATTGCACTATTATTGGATAACAACAAATTTGGTATTAAAAATTGGCCATTAGGCCTGTCACGACATTACTCTCGCTTTTTATGAGTTACAAAAAAAATTTCCTACATAAAAATAGCTACTCTAGTTTCAATTTTTTTTTTTTTTTCACTCACATTAGTGAAAACTCCAGTGAAATTAATACTACAAAAAACCTCAATTAGCAAAATCACAAAGTCGGGACCCACCTCACCACCTGCTATAAATACCCAACGTTTCTTTACAAAGCCCAAAATCCGAGTCTCCTTTCTGCCCGTTTTCTCTGAGAGACCCACTTGATTTTCATATCACCACAACACATCCCACTGCCACTGCCACTCTCTCTCTCTCGTCTTTTTATACATTCTCTCTCGCATCAGTCTAAAAAGTAACAAAGATCAGAGAGACAACCAACAATTTTGGGCAGCAAATTTTCGGCAAAGTCAATATATTCCAAAACCAAAGCAATCAAATTTATCCCCACTCCACTTGCTACTCTACCACCACCATGGTCGACGTCGACCGGAGAATGACCTCTCTCAACCCGGCTCATGTCGCCGGCCTCCGCCGCCTTTCCGCCCGTGCCGCCGCCTCCGCCGCTCCACCTCCCTCTGCCCCTCTTCCCGCCCGCAACGGCCTCATCTCCTTCACTACTCTCGCTGTCAAATTCATCACCCACCTTAGGAACTCCGGAATCCAAGTCCACCCCGGCTTGTCCGACGCCGAGTTTGCCCGAGCCGAAGCTGAGTTCGGCTTCGCATTCCCTCCTGACCTCAAAGCCGTACTCTCCACAGGCTTGCCCGTCGGCCCCGGCTTCCCGGACTGGCGCTCATCCGGGTCCGCTCGGCTTCACCTTCGTGCCTCCATCGATCTACCCATTGCCGCAATCTCATTCCACATCGCACGCAACGCTCTCTGGTCAAAGCGTTGGGGACTCAGACCCTCCGACCCAGAGAAAGCCCTCAAAATCGCCAGAAACGCAATCAAACGAGCGCCCCTTTTGATACCCATCTTCAATCATTGCTACATTCCCTGTAATCCCTGCTTAGCTGGAAACCCCATCTTCTTCATTGACGAGAATCGAATCTTTTGCTGTGGTTTCGATCTCTCTGATTTCTTTGATCGCGAGTCTTACTTGTTCAACAACTCAGACCCTCAGGTCCTATCAAAACAACGATCATTCAACGAGAAATCTGCCGGGTCGTCATCCAATTTTTCTCGGAGAAGCCTCGACGCCGTGACCGCCGGTAGAACCCCCAGATGGGTTGAGTTTTGGAGCGACGCCGCCGTGGATCGGCGGCGAAGGAACTCTAATTCGTCTTCTTCCTCCTCGTCCCCAGAACGGTACTTCGACATGCCCAGATCCGAAATGCCAAAATGGGTCGACGAGTACATTGACCAGATCGGGTCGGTGTTGAGAGAAGGCGGGTGGGACGAATCGGACGTCTCCGAAATCGTACACGTGTCGGCCTCTGGGTTCTTCGAAGGCGAGATGGTTCTGTTAGACAACCAAGCGGTCCTCGACGCTCTGCTCCTGAAAGCGGATCGCTTCTCGGATTCGCTCCTGAAAGCCGGGTGGAACTCCGACGAGGTCTCGGAAGCGTTAGGGTTCGATTTTCGACCGGAGAAGGAAAGGAAACCGGCCAAGAAGCTGCCCCCGGTTCTCGTTGAACGATTCGGCAAACTGGCTGAGTCGGTTTCACGGTCATGATGATGGATTTTTACCGGCAACTGGCAGATACGAGATTCTTTTGGGTTTTTTTTTTTAATATTTTTTTTATTAAAAAAAAAAAATCTAGGCGGTTTCGCTGTACTATGAAAGCTGTATAAAAAAGATTAAAGAGTTCAAAATACTTGATTGCTAGGTATTTATATTGAAATAATTTTTTTTAAATTTATATATGTATCACAAATTTGTTATTGTTGTTTGGTAAATTGTTTGTATATATTATGAAGAAATGATAATGCCATGTTGTATGTTGGTGTCACAAACTTTTTCTCACATGCTGTAAGAGTGAGTGCCCAACACCTTACTTTTAACAATGTTGAGTGGGTCTACATTTCATGCTGTTGTGAACTTTAGAAAGTGATTTACAAATGTCAATTAAAATGATTTTAACAATAACCTGTTCTATCTTTGTTATTATAAAAAATAAAAAAAAAATTATAAAACTAATCAAAGTTTCAATTTTTTAATTTTATTAAAAAATATTTTGGACAAGAGGAAAAGGGTCCAATGTCCTAACCTGAAACATGGATCTAAATTGAAAACAATGCATGGGTTTGGTTAAGCTGGTGGTGTGGGACAAATGGCATCGCTTTCAAGGTAAAAAAACATTAATGTGTGCATTTCACAGTGCAATTAAAGATGTTATCGTATTGTTGGCCCGATGTGCGAGTGAGTGTGTGTTTGTTGAGCTTTTGTTTGGGGCGGGAGAAAATGAGATTTGCTTTTCTTCTGTTACTTTTTTTTTTAGTATTATTTATTTTCTTTTTCAGGTGACGCTTTTTTTTTTTTTCCTGAGAAAATCAGATCTCATCTGGGAATAAATTATTTTAACAATTTTTTTATTTTTTACACAAAAAAAAATTTAAAAAATGATATAATAATTTATAATGACTTTTTAAATTTTTTGATTAAAATATTTAATACTCGAACAAGATTAATTCGGTGATTTTGAAAACAGGGTACAAGGGAATAGCAAATGGCGGGAATTGTCTGCAAAAGTCTCTTCTTAAATTGAGAGAGAGAGAGAGAGAGGTGTTTTGGAATTTGGAAAAGGAAGAGAGATCAATCTTCAACCAGAGGAAACTAACCCGACACACTGAAACCTTATCAGCGTTTTTTAGCTTTTTAGAGACAGAACAACGAGGTACTCTGTTTTTTCTTCTTGGGTGCGTGGAGAATATTTTCTTTTATTTTTGTAAATCACACTTATCATTAGTTTGAAAAATTGTTGTAAGTCTTGTAAATTTTGTATAATTACATTGAATCTTCTAGTAACGTTAAAACAAATAACATTAATACAAGGGGTGTGTGGACATGTAAATAATCAAGAGTAAAAAATATATTTTAATATTAAAAAAAATGACAATTTTTAGTTGCCTGCAGACAAATGATAAAATTTAGTTGAAATTTGGTTGGAATTTTTTTTTTATTTTTTTTTTACTAGTTGCTTGCTATTTACTGCCATGAGTTGAATTGTTGAGCAATTGTTTGGAATATTTTTATTAACAATACTTTTGTAAGTAGGTTATGAGGATGGCAAGTAATTATAAACCATGGTTTCATCCTGTATGAGACTTGGTTGGGTATGATAGTTTAGTTGTGAATTTTATATAGCTTTTGGTAGTGATTTAGTCCCTGATTTTTTCAAACTAATCCAAACTGAATCTTGCTTATCCCTAATGGACAGGGGCAATGTTGTAAATTTGTAATGTTTAGAAAAAGTATGATACATTTTAGTATGAGAAAAAGGAGGGCCACAACAAGATGCAAGGGGTCCAGTTCATAAATTAGGAGAGAGAGAGAGAGAGTATAGTTTGGGGGAGTGGGAGGCGCGGCGGTCTGATGGAGTTTTTTCATAGTTTTCACACCGACTCTGAGCGTTAATTAATTTGATGTTTTCGAATGTGTACGTAAGAGAATTTTTTATGGTTGTGTATACTTGAGTAAGAATCATCCCCATAAACCCCACATTCACATATTGTAAACTCAAGAGCAGTCACCAGAGTCTGCCTCCAACAACTAGGATTTTGTTAAAATTTGAATAATGTAAAATAAAATTTTTGGAAAACCCTGTATTTGTTTGTTTGTTATGTACCCCATTGCCTTTGACCTCGAATAAAACAACTGGTTTGGAGTAATATAGGGAAGACTTGAAGTTGCATTCAAGTTGTGTAATAATAATAAAAATTGAAGGCATAATTTTCTTGATAATTTTAATTCAAATCCATTTTCCTTTCAAATAAAACATCATGTGTTGACTATATGCTTATTAATAAGTTTAGAGACACATTGTAAATTATTAACACGAATTTCACACTTCAAGGAGGTGTTATTTAAAAGAAGTTATCAGATAACTCTATCCTACTAATGTGTTGACACCATAAATTTGAAATCTTCTGTCAATAGGGGCATAGACATGCGCAGAAGAGGTCCAAGAGTCAAGGGCATGAAGTTAGTGGCTCAATAAAGAAGATTAAAGATGTAACACATGACAGTTTCAGAAAAGAAGAGAGTTTAAGGCAGTTAAAGCAGTTGCAGATCATGAGAAGACAAAGGAAGCCAGCAAAGGGATACGTGGCAGCATGGCATGGCCAATGAAGCCATATAAAAACTGAAAATTCAAAGAAGACAAGACCTTCAACCAAATTTACAACTCATGTGAAATTTTGGAGTAGTATAACTTATCTAGGAGTAGTTCTTGTACTTAGGAGTAGCTTATTTGTAATTCAGTGTTTGCAACCCAATTTGGCCTTGTCAATTGTGATGTTATTTGAATTTGTAATTTGATTCTTGTAACTAAGTGACAAGTTTAAGTGCTATTCAATCGGATTTCAATTTGTTTGTACTGGTTTCTTCATATTACAATCTTCAAAGAAATTCTTGAATTTGTCAAGGTATAATACACCAACCACATTGTTTGATTAAGTTGTTTGTGAAAATTGGTTTTTCCTGTCGACTTTTTCCTGACCCAAACCAAATTTTTGCTAACACAATGTTTATCCAATAATTAAGGGATATATACATGGTTATTTTATATAAAAAATAGAATAAGGGATATATACATGGTCATTTTATATGAAAAATAGAATGAAAAGTGGTCATATGTCTTTGTATTATTAAAAGAGTGCACCAAATGTTTATGGGTCAAACCTATTTATTTTTTATTTTCTTGAATGATTGTTTTACTTGTATAGAAATCAATAACAGAACCACACAAGAGTTGTGTGTGATTCTGTACTTGTTTCTTCATATTACAACCTCTAAAGAAGTCCTTGAATCTGTCAAGGTATAAGACATCAACCACATTGTTTGATTAAGTTGTTTGTGGAAATCGATTTTTCCTATCGACTTTTCCCTGACCCAAACCAGATTTTTGCTAACACAATGTTTATCCAATAATTAAGGGATATACACATGGTCATTTTATATGAAAAATAAAAGGAAAAGTGGTCATATGTCTTTGTATTATTAAAAGAGTATACGAAATGTTTATGGGTCAAACCTATTTATTTTTTATTCTCTTGAATAATTGTTTTACTTGTATAAAAATCAATAACAGAACCACACAAGATTTGTGTGTGATTTTGTAATTGATCTATGTGTTTCTATATTTTTTTTCTTTTTTCAAAAAAAATAAAATAATTACTCTTTATTTGGAGATAAGATGGTGCCCTGAATCACTAACAATGACTTGGTAAACGATTTTATCAACAATTTAACTGTTAAGTTTATGGCTTAAAAACTTCATCCATCATACTTTAAATAATAAAGTAATATTAGGTATGGCGTTATACCTAGAAGTACATTCGAAAGCTAATGCAAACAAGATCCAAGGAACGGCCAGATTCTAAAGGCATCCACCAAGCTCCAAACGAAACGAAATGGTCACAAAGTTGTAAAGAATTGTATAGTAGGGGCCACTCGAAGCATCCAAATGCAAAAACACTTTAGAGTGTTTTAGTCTGTAAATGTGATGCCATTTTCTTTTTCGAACAAACTGATAAAAGATAGCTGTTCAAACACAATCATGGTTCATAGCTATATCGGCCTCGCATTTGACATGGTCAATTTTAACTCCTAGACAACTTTTTTTGTTCTTGAATTAAGGGCACTTTAGTGATGATATTTGTATCTTTTTTTTTTGTTTTTTGGGTACCACATTAAAAAGAATCTAGCATCCGAATTGCTTCGAGGAGAAGCCTAGCTCGACACGCTCCATATAATCATTTGTCAAAATGTCCCCATTTGGAACTCCTAATTATTACCATGTGATGGGAGCTGTCATCTTTTTAGCTAGAAATTCTCTCATTTTCAGTATTTTTTTCCTTGCAACTTTCGAGTCGTTTGATATGTGAAAAAGATCTATATAACATACAAATTTTGAGATTTTAGGAGTTCTTTTACATATACAGAATTTAATCACAGAATCAGACACAATTCAATTTATTATTGTGTTTACATGCATGTTTGTGAGTAATTTTTTTTTATTTTTATTCATAGCATAACTGCATCAATGTAATTGAGGTTGGTATAGGTCTATGATTTCAAGAAGAAAAAAGTTTAATATATCACAAAAAACATTACTCTTAAATTTATCTTAAAAAATAGTAATATTTTAGAGATCTATAATCTTACTTTCTTAAAAAAATTAATAAAATTATATGATTAATAAACCAAACACAATTTCTAATTGAAGTCATAGCATAGTCTCAAGCTAAAATAACTCATGTGCTTGTTTGTATTGACACTCACTTGGAATCCAATTTTTTTTTTATCCCTCAATAAATGCAACGAGAAAGGTTAAAGCAACAATATATTGGTCCAAGCTCAGTCGTTTTGAGGGCATTTTTTTCACAATAAAGGCACGTGGAGGTCCTAGTGAGGAAGTTTGTCAAGGCATATAGTCTTCTCATATCATATTGGGCCGGTTTTGATTGCATTTGAATCCTTTTAATGGCGATAATTATTAGGACTGACAAAACAACAGTTGCTCAATTAATTACAAAAAAGAGAATCAAAAAGTTCACAGAAGAAGAAGAGTATTCACCTATGACCAAAACAAGATTAAAAAACACCACCACACAATAGAAAGAGAAAATTATTTTTTTACTTTTAGACCACATTGATGGTGGTATTTTAACTTAATTTTTATTGATTAAAATAAGAGTTAAGTTAAAAAATTTAAATAATCTATTAAATTTTTTACTAAAATTTTCACATAAGTTTGAAATCTATAGCATTTTCTTTAAAATAATAAGA